AAACAACATACATCACTTATAAGCAAGTAGTAAAAATCGTAAAAAAATAGGCCAACTTCGTGGTCAAGATTCTTGGGAATTTTATTTTTAACCACCCTTGAAATTTCATAAAAAGAGCCTTCAAATGCTAGAGAAATTGAGAAATGAGGCCATGGAATTAAACCGACAACTTCTTTATTGTCAAATAATATTAAAAAATTTACCCGTGACATGACTTTAATGTGATTATTGAAGTTGGAATTCTCCCGATATCAAGGAATTTAAGGCACATTCAAAATATAGGTCATTATATTTTCAGAATGAATTAGAAAATATTGTCAGAGATTCCACCGACATGAAAATAATACATTTAAAGTCGAACATTTCAACCCAACAATTTGAAATTTTTATCAAGTAAGTTATAAATTAATTGAACACTTTAGTATAGCTTCGTATCAATTGGAGATAATAAAGGTATATTTATGGTGGATTTGTAATTTTAGACAACATCGACTCTCAGTTTGTCTTTGACCTTATGTTAGCATCTTATGATTTACTTTTTGAAGAATTGGCGGAAATTCTTGAAACTTATTTAATTGAGTCTAAGGTTCATTGGATACGTTCTCATTTTATTCAGATTTATAAAACAAGTTTCAAAAATAATGAACTTAAAAAATTGCAAAAATGGTGTAACGACATCGTAGCAAAACATCCTAGCATTGTTTTTAATTCAGAACATTCTTTTAATGAAATTGTCTTAATTTCACTTATTAAACGTGATGATTTACAAATGGATGAGATTAAAATTTGGAATTTTATTATAAATTGGGGAATTGCACAAAACCCTAGCCTGCCTACTAATCTTGAAGACTGGACTGACGAAAATTTTATAACTTTAAAGGCTACTCTGAAAATTTTTTACCTCTTATTCGTTATTTTCAAATCTCTAGTCAAGATATTGAAAATTATGTAATGCCATATTATCAAATTCTTGAAAAAAAAACTTTGGACAGACTTTACTAAAAAATTTATGGTACCTAATTATCAAGTAACTTCAATAATTTTACCATCTCGAATTAGTTTAAAACAAGAATTACCAACTAGAATGACAGAATTACAGTGCAATATCTGAGAAAAGAAGCAAAGGAATGTTTTACGCAGGGTAAATTTCTTAAAGCATTAGAACTTTATGAAGAAATTCTCAAGAACGGCCACCACAATACATCAAATATTCGCATCATCTTGGAATCTTGATCGTCAATGTGGACCAAAAAAAATACACGAGTTAATCAAGGTACTTGGTAAGGACACCACCTTAACTTCTTTAGATATTCGATGGAATAACCTTGATCAGAAGGCGGAAAAGCATTAGCGAATGCACTTTGCAAGAATACTACACTGACTTCTTTGAATCTTTATCGTGATAATCTTGGATCAGAAGGTGGAAAAGCATTAGCAGATGCACTTTGCAAGAACACCCCCTCCATACAGTCACAACCTTTTATAATCACACTAATTTATAAAACTAGCTTATATAAAACTTAAGAAATCTAACCTCTATCTAAGCACAATTCTTTATAAGCACGAAATTTCTTGGAACCAAGGGCGTGACTGCAGAGAAGGCTGCATAATATATATATGTATCAAAATTGTAATATGCCAACTATGCTATGTAATACGGTATATGCCAAAATAAATATTACAGTACTGATATTGCTTCTGTTTAGAAATTATGAAACAATGCTAAATTCTCCATTCACTATTGGAGTTGAAAACATGTGCTAAAATCATAAGCAATCTGCTATCAAAATCTCAAACTTATCCGCTGTTAAATTTATAAATCCACATGCTGTTAAAAGAACTAACCCCATCTACTATTGAAATCGCTACTCACGTTTCATTGATCCATCTAATGCTAAAATTGTAAACTCAATTGTTATATATCTTGGCTAATAGCGAAATATAAAAAAATGGCGTAGATTCTAGACGTAATAATTTCAAAAAATATTGAAGCCTTATTACGCACATTATCAAAAAACAGAAAATATTTAATAACTAATAAGAAATGCATGTGTATTGTTCTTTTATATTTAAAATTATTATAAAATGCGGCTATAGAATTTTAACTTATTATATGTTTTAATGTTTTTTAAAGTTTCAAAGTTTTTATAAATTTTGCATATAAAATTTTTAAAATTTTTTTTTATATTAGCGTTAGTACAATTAGAATTTGGGAAGAATTTTGGCGCATAAACCATTTTTACTTAGAATGCCTAATAAAATTAAACATTCATTTGGTTTCACATAATTATTGGCTATGTTGTTACAGCCAGACCCCCTAAATGCACCCACTCTAAATGCAGCACCCTAAATGCATGATATAAGGTCGGACCCATGGGTGGGACTTATAGATAAATGCACATGTAAGTGCACACTAATTGTCTGACCCACTTATAAAAACTCCCTCCATAAATGCATCCAGTGATTATCAACCAATCAAATTGTGTTTATCATGTGATAATAGTCATATTGTGATTTTATTAGTGTTCTTTAATTGCAACCCTCTCTAAATGCATGCTCTAAAGCTGGTTCCGACAACATGCCGTTAGGGAGGTCTGACAGTATTTGTAACAAGCCACAGTAAAAAAAAAAGGTGATACTAATTCTTTTTATAGGGCACTCACGTGCAATGATAGATGTTCAACGAACTTGTCACGGGGACAAGCCAGGGCTAATGCATGCAATTATTAAATCGTTATTTTATAATTCTTCTAACTGCAACCCCTACTATTTACCCTAACCTAACAAATTAGTAAACATAACGATCGTACTAGATTCTAGCGTAACGATCGTTTCATTATATTTATTTATTTATTTATATGCCCCTAAGTTACAAACTATATTCCTGGGAAAGATAAGATCTAAGATTACTAAAATCACAACATATAAGTTTTGCCCGATTAATTAATTTATTTTAAAACGCTCTTCATGTATTACTCAAAAATGCATAAAAGTCGCTCAATTTTTCCTAAATATAAAAGTAACTTGTAAGATTAATAAAGTAAAAATTAAAAGAACTTAAAACAATAAAATAAAAGTAAAATCACTTATGCTCCTTAAGCCTTGTTAACCGATTTCTTAGAATCTTACAGTATTTGGCACACAGCTGCCTTTTAAAGCCTCAGAGATTCTTAAATCTACAAATTCATAGAATAACTTTTGCAAGAATTTTTTAAAGGTTTTTTTAAAACTGATTGTTATTTTTAGTTAATAAAAAAAATGCCTTTCGTTTTTTAAATACAGTCAGACCTCCCTAAATGCACGTCGCATGCATTTAGGGAGGGTTGCAATTAAAGAACACTAATAAAATCACAATGCGACTATTATCACATGATAAACACGACTTTGTAGCCTAGAATAATGGATTTGATTGGTTGACAATCACGTGGATGCATTTATGGAGGGAGTTTTTATAAGTGGGTCAGACAATTAGCGTGCACCTACAGAATAAAGAACATGCATTTTTCTATAAGTCCCACCATGGGTCCGGGCTTATATCAAGCATTTAGGGGGTGCCGCATTTAGGGAGGGTGCATTTAGTGGGTCTGTATAATGCATTTGGGGGGGTGCTGCATTTAGGGAGGGTGCATTTAGGGGGTCTGACTGTAGAATCGATTTTAGAATAACCTTTTAGTATTAGTATATTTCAGATCATTACGGTAATAGGAAATCAAGATTTGACTTGATTTAGACAAGATTGACATGGCTATCCAATCAAATATAAGATTTTGCGAATACGGCATATTAGCAAGATAAACAATTGTTAACCAAACAGGATATACAACTTAATAGAAAATGTAATAAATGCATATGTGGTACTTTCTTGTATTCTTGTAGTATAATTCGAGTAATGGGTAAAATAGAAATAATGCCCCTTGATACCTTATTACCTCGTAAAATAAATTATAGTATGATTAGGTGTTTGTAATCGTAAATAAATCACAATAACATAAAGTAGTTTAGAATGTCTGTTGTGGTTTGAAATTTTTACCGAAAATTTAGCATGAATTTTTTTATTTGCGCACTGAATTCGTTTAGAGTCCAAGTTTTTACTTCATAACGGAAATGGAAAATCCAAAACTAATATATACATTCCTTGCGATATTCATATTTGTCCTCTTATCGATAGCAATGATAATATTGCGAATGAAAGAGACTTCAGATCATAACATTAACATTCTTAACATTAACAATACGGCAAAATTAGTGAGTAATCTTAAGATTAAACCTACTAACGTCGCAGAATGGAAACAAAGACATTACATAACAGGCTATCTTAATAAGGACCAGAAAATTAGGATATATATAACTGAGGTTGATTGGTATGAAAATGAACTGCAAAGTCTCAAACATAATCATGATGGAACCTTAGAAAAGTGTGATATACCGTGTATCTTGCAAAAGAAAGATTTAAATAATTTAACATCCGAAGAGCTTAAACATGCTAATGCTATTCTTAACATTAATACACCAAATTTACCAGAAAAGAAAGCCTGGGAAGGGCAAAAATTTATAAAATTTACTTTAGAACCTAAGACTCATTGCCCTCACTGTCATGATGAAAACCACATATTCGATATCCGCGCTACTTACGATGAGGACTCTGATATACCTACAAGTTATTTTGGATTGGGTCCTGGAACAATGAACTCAAAAACTCCTTTTAATATAACCAAACTCCCTCACAACTCAACACTTATTTCGTTTATCGCTTCCCATGAGACTGAATTCAGGAATAATTTTATTCCAAGTCTTATGAAACATATTCCTGTCGCATCCTTCGGTGGTGTAAGTCATAACACTGATTGGAATATTTATCCTGAATGCGAGAGTTTAGACTTCTTTGAATCAAAGAATTGTGTCCTTTCTAAATATCCATTTTATCTTGCAATTGAAAATTGTCAAGAAAAAGATTACTCCACTGAAAAATTTTGGATTGCGTTCGATTTGGGTATCGTGCCTATTATATGGGGTGCGCCTAATACTCGGTCATATTTACCACATCCTAAATCAGCTATTTTTATTGAAGACTTTCAGGACACAAAGGCACTTGCAGATTATTTGAAATATTTAGCTAAAAATGAGACCGCGTATTTGGAATATCATAAGTGGCGGACTATGAAGTTATCTGATGGGTTTAAGATGAAATCGTACATGAGTTATTTAAATTTTGAATGCAATGTTTGTAGAGAAGTTGCTAGGTTAAAGATTATTGAAGGGTATATATAATATGTAATTTATAGATTATTTCTTGTAACCTGTAATAGAAATATAAACTGTTGTATAAACTTAATAAAAGGTATATAATTAACTACATGTGGCGGGCTACATCGTCGCCCGCTTACATTTTGTGATTTTAAATTCGATTCATTATATTATAAATAAAATCCAAGTACTGTCACTGCCGACGACAAAAAGATTATTTCAATAAATTAAATAAAAATTTAATAAAAAATTTTTTTAAAAAAACTCTCTTTTAGTTTAAAATTTAGGTTCTGCTGTGTCGTCGAGCAAAATTTTCAGCCTAGTTAATATGTGATTTACGAAGGATATACGACTTGAATTTTGAAAATCTTAGATGAAACGATTATTAAAAATTATCAAATTTCAAATTGTATCTCCTCTGTAAATTACATATTAACTGGCTTAAAAAAATTTGCTCAATTACTCAACAGGACCTGTATTTAAAACTAAAAGAGCGTTTTTTTATTAATTTTAAGAAATTTCAATAATATTAATAATTTTCGTTAAAATTTATATAGATCATCGTGATTGTTACACGAAAAAAATACCAGGAACGGAGTGAAACGAAGTGTATTTTTTTTTTTTTACGACAATCGGTTTTTAACGATCACTTAACGCTAATTGTTTTCTTGTACACACATCCGATTGTAACGAGAAGACGTTCAAAGAATAAATTAATCTCATGAATCAATGAGCAACCAGAAACAAGCCATCAATCATAATAGATATATAAAGAACCGAAGAAAAATTGCTTTAGGTAATTCTTCATTTCAACAAACCATAATACCACTTTTTTAAATTTCTAGAGTGGTCAACCTTTTTCTTACAATATTTTGCATATTTGCATATTTGATATGTCATTCTATTAATTAAATTTTTAGGAGCTGCTAAATTTCTCAAATTTTAGACCTGATTCTCTGCTTATGATTCGGCTTTTGATTTTTCTATAAGATTCTATTCAAATATTACTCTTGTTTATTTATGATAATCAATTCATATTATAATTTATTATATTACTGTAAGATATCATGAAGTTGTATTTTTTCATTAAGTATTACCTTAAAGTTGGCCCGTTCCTGGTTTCAGCGCGACTACGTCGCACAGCTACCTAATTTATCACATTTTATTAAGCCGTTCAAGTTTATGAATACTTACTGTTTAACTTCATTTTATTTTCGCTATTTAGTAAATGAGACAAAAACATTTATTAATTCATTTGAAAATAGTCTATCCATGAATACTTACTATTCAATTTTATTTTTTATTCACAGTAGGTGGTCACCTATCTTGTTCAGTAATTTAGAAGATTGATAAATTCTAAATACTGTCTGCCCTCCAAACAGTCACTCTCCGCACAGTCACAATTTTTTATAATCACACTAATTTATAAAATTAGCTTATATAAAACTTAAGAAATTTAACCTCTATATAAGCACAATTCTTTACAAGCACGAAATTTTTTGTAACCAAGGGCGTGACTGTAGAGAGGTTAAACTGTAAATGAACAAGTGGTACTTTCTCGTATTTTTGTAGTATAATTCGAGTAATGGGTAAAATAGAAATAATGCCCCTTGATACCTTAATACCTCGTAAAATAAGTTATAGTTATCCGGCAAACTCTTATGATCATAGATTTATTTCTTTTTGTTATTTTTTTTTGGGATGTTATGTCGTAATCATGTTTATTCGAATTAAAACTCAGCAAATTACGACTTGAGAATCATGATCATGAATTGCCAGCAAATCCAGCGTTACCAACAATCGAGGGCGCAGTCTTATGACCGGAAAAAAATTTTAAGTTCGTTTACTTTAGGGTTAAGGCGATGCCTGGGATTAGTGATGGGACCTCCTGCATTATTAATAATTAATAATGAATTATTAACAAATGGTCGATTTATTAACTAAAAATTA